TATTAATAGTAATACCAGCTTCTTGTTTTTCATGTGATTGCAGCAGTTATTATTTGTGTTAAAAGTAATTAAAATGGACAAGAATTTCTCATTGTCTGTGACATGATTTTCGTAGGCGATAATCATACGCATGTTTTATTAATGCCCAGGGTATTATTTTATAACCGTTCGTACATGTAATGATCGTTGTTGTCTACAGAAGATGTTTACATTATACAGAATTGAAACTCGCATTGTCCACTATGTTTTGCCATCAAAAAGATCTAAAGACGATACATTTTTTGTTTGCTTTAGTTTGAATCCCATCCATTCTATACTATTCATGTCACGAGTCTCAAGTATTATGAGTAGTGACAATGCCTATAAGCCTCTGAAGTCTACCTGTCTGGATACGTGCTTCCCTACAGCGTACTAGCTGCAAAAAACTTATTAAGATTTGAAATTAATTTTCCTTTCCATTTAATAGAAGAGCTTAGAAAGGAACAAAAAAGTATTATAAATAATATAGCATTATATATAAATAATAAATATTTAAATTACTATTGTGTATGCCTATCAATCAGACTTGAAAATTATACATCTTGACACAAACATGAATTAACCACTGTAACTACTGTAGTATGCCCATAGGTTTGCAGAGCAGTATCGCTATAATTGTTACATTGAGTTTTCAAAGAATTTTTAAGCAAATTTCCAATTCAGGGAAGAGTTTTAATTGAATTAGCAAAAAAAAAAAACTAGTGCCTACATTGTAATTATGAACATGTCAATTACTGTAGTTTTTGCATGTTGATGCGTTTCCGTTCTAGAGCATTATAGAGGTCGGCTAAAAGAAGGAGAGAGACAAAATATACCTATTGCTTGTCCGATAGAATTTTAATACAGTATATACTCGCACATAAGGGGAGGCTTAAAATAGTAAATTACTTGGCTCCGTTTTTAGCCAGCTAGATGCATGTATCAAGATCATAAAAGAGCAGCAAAAAGTATTAATTCTGACAAAGGAACGGGGGTTGTGTTGAATGCCCAACATACAAAAATCGCTCAAACTCGGGGTTAATCTTATACGCGGGTCGCCATATACGAGCATATACGGTACGTTAAAGAGCAATAAATAGGTATGAAGCATTATGAATCAATTATTTAAACAACTTTTTAATCAAACAATTTAGGTCAAATATTTAGATAACAGATATAAAAGAATGTAGATAATAATAGATTTAATAGGTAACTTCTGAAATTGTTGGTGTGCATAGACTCCTTAAATGTAGGTTTTTTTATTTCCAATGGTGCAGTAGTTAAAATTACTCCATTTACTTTTATATACTTTATTTATAAGCAGTTCTATGCTTGAAATTACATATTTAAATTGCCATTACACTTACAGTAGTCAAAAAAAAAATTCATTTTGATATATTGTATGTAACGTATATGTTTGTATTTAGAATGGTGTTTTTGCCCAACCTGCCAATATCATACTGATGTACTAAAATCCACGGGGACCTCACTTGCATTCCAGCCAAACAGGGGTGTGCCGCAGCCACTTCAAGGCATGAGGCACTTGTGCTACCTATTTTACTGAAAATTCTTATGGACTAACAGTAACTACCATTTACCCAAAATCGCACTGTGCTCTAAAAGACGACAGGAAAAAGGCCACTTAATAGTACTAGAGAGGGTGCAATATTTACTGGTTCCCGATGGCAAAAATTGTTCTGTCCGGTCGCGATCTTGTGAAAGGTAGGCTTAGAAAGGGAATTACCGGCTTAGCACCCAGTCTAACTTGAAATTCCCGCTAACATCGTGCGGAAAATCGTGGCACTTTGACACAGGATAGGCCAGGGACTTTAACTACCAATTTCAGCCCGATAATTTCCTAGTACACTTCTGCTACACAGTCTTCGCAAGTATACCTCATAAATGCTGCAACTCCCCCAACATTTCTCACACTTATGCTTACCCCGTAAATGCGGCACCTCCCGTATAGAAATATTTAAGAGTGAGCCCCTTGGGACCAAAATCGCAAGTGATTTGTGTTGGAATCAAACCCTCAACTTTCCTGATAGAATAGTCGTGTATCATAACCACTAGACCATCAAACTTGCACTTAGTGGCTGGAACTTAATTTGATCACTAAGTGGTTAATGGATAATTTTTCATTCCTATGATGACATAATTAAAGTTGAAATATTGAATATCAACACAATGGTGTGAATCTGAGATTAATCAGTGGACCTTTCGGATAATATAACATCATCATTCAAAATATCACCCACTGCTGTTCCGTGCCGTGACGTCAGTCAGGTTGTGTAAAAACATCCTTTCTTCCAGTTGTGTTTCTTGATAAAGCATTATTTATGATAAATTATATAATTATAATTTATTTAAACCTATTTACTGCTCAAGGCTCTATTTTCCCCCAGTCATTGGATACAGAATATCTCGGGCAACCTCCTTCGCTCCCTGGGGAGTACCAGTATTTCTAGTTATGCACCTAATTAGCACTACTATCCTCATTCTAAATCACCCACTTCCTACTGGGTACCCATTTATACTGCTGGGTGAAGAGAGGCAAATGCATGCAGTGTGCCCCATTTTATCTGTATACAGACAGTGTGATAAGCATCAGTCTCGAACCCCCAATCTTTGTGATTGAAAGCCTGATGCCTTACTTGCTGCACCACATGCTTTTACAAAGTATTCCATTGTAATGTTGATACTACAATTGTAGTTTGAGCTGTGAACTTTGAGAACGAGGTCCGAATCTCTTGGCGTATACTGTAATTCACTTGTGTCCTTTGGCAAGGCACTTTACGTTTGGCTCTCTTTCCACTGAAGTACGCCACAAGTAATGGCTGTTGAAATGGTGCCATATTAATGGAGCACTTGATTGATTTATTGATTCAGTATCAATCGTATCTGCCATTTAATGTGTTTTGGTTTGTGTTTAATCTACTGAAGCACAACTAGTTGTTCTCTCCAAAGAGCGGGAATTAAGGTTGCACTTTTTTTATTATGGATGGATTCGGTGACCAGGGATAATGATATCTTGAATCTTTGATCCAGTATTGAAAATTAAAACTCTTTACTTTAAAAAATCCTTTTTCACCTTCCCAGGGTGAGAGGCCCTGGGCCACAGGGTAGCATAACTGCCCAGGCCCCTAAAGGGGGTCTGGGGCCAGGGTGACAGAGCCCATGGTGGGTCCGCCGTTTCAAGTAGTTGGATTCCTAAGTCTATACAGACACTAAGAGTAGATCAAAATAATGGTTTCCATATTAAGGTTATTGTCTAACTCACCCCTACCCCCCTTTCCTTTTCTCGGCAGTAGTGCACCTGTCCATTATAAGTGGTCTGTATTGTTAATCTGTTAATAAACAGAACATTTTCCTCATTTTCATTTTCACTTGAAGGCCATTAATACTGTAACTTTTTTCATTATTTTTTACTGCATTTAGGACAACAATGTTTATATGCTATAATTACAAAATACTACATTACCCTACTATGTGATTAGATTGGATTTATTTAGTGTAATGAATTCAGTAATGAATTTCATTTTTCAAATATGATTTTTCAATACAGACTTCAATTTCTTTTAGTGCTACAAAAGAATTTAAACGAAAAAGGAAAATTTAAAATAAGGTATTACTTATTCTAAATAACCCCTTTCCTTTTCTCGGCAGTAGTGCACCTGGCCATTATAAGAGGTCTGTATTGTTAATCTGTTAATAAACAGAAGGTTTTCCTCATTTTCATTTTCACTTGAAGGCCATTAATAACTTTTTTCATTATTTTTTACTGCATTTAGGACAACAATGTTTATATGCTATAATTACAAAATACTACATTACCCTACTATGTGATTAGATTGGATTTATTTAGTGTAATGAACTCAGTAATGAATTTCATTTTTCAAATATGATTTTTCAATACAGACTTCAATTTCTTTTAGTGCTACAAAAGCATTAAACGAAAAAGGAAAATTGAAAATAAGGTATTTAAATCTTATTCTAAATAATACTTCAACTTTTAATTAATTAATTCTGCTCTTTGCTGTATATGAAGAGAAATAATACATAATGCATTGTTTATAATCTGGAAATGGAACTCTGCGTACAAAAAAGAGCTTTTAAATGCAGGGCATTTCTAGAAAATTTCAAAATGACAATACACATATAAAGCTAATGTTAAATGATGTCACCAATTTTAGTTATTTATTTTATTTATTTAATCTATATTTTATAGTACTGATTTTCAAAATTTAGTATAGTGATGAGAAACATATATACAGTGTAATTAACAAATAATAAATAAAAAATAAATAAATAAATATAATTAGATAAAAAATAAATAAAATAAAATTTTAAAACATTTTTTAAAATGATTTTGGAATGAAAAGTTGACAGCTCTTCTTTTTGAGATGAGAAATTTGAGACGGTTAACACAGGGGTCCCAAGTTTGAAGAAGTCATGTTTGGGAGATCTGGTTACCAGTAAATGGACTTTCACCTCTCATTAAGCATTTAAAAAATTTCAATCTTTTACATGCCATCAAGCAATTTATGTAATTCACATTCAGGTGATGTTTAATGCAGGAAATTGTACAATAATTCAGTTCTTTTGAAAATTCTTTTCTTTCATTTGTTTCCCTGTAAGAAATGTATTTTTGTCCAATATTTCCAAAAAATTAATAAGTTGTGATTTTTTGTTATTGCTATGAGAATCAAAGGTATGAAACATAGAATTAAATGATATTTTTAATTAACTTTCGTTTATACAATTTGAAACATCAAATTTGCAATGCTTTTGTAATGTAAAAAAAATCCTGTTGTCCAAGAAATAGTGGCTTTAAAGAAGTGCTATTAATTTTTTTAAGCTAGATAAATTTTTTTTCCAAAAAACATGATTCAACAGTCTGTCTTTTATACATAGGAATTGATCTGTGAAACTAAAAAGAATGTTTTTTTCTATTAATTTGTGATTTCTTGGTATCATTTCAGTGTTTTTGCGTTTATGTCACCTGCTTGCCGCCAGTGAGATGATCATGGGAATGAAGCCGTTACGACTTGTTGATTACATCCACATTGTTCAGCCCTACAAAAACAGCGTGAACATGATGCGAGCAAACCTAATGTTTGTGGTAAAGTATTATTACATTCGTCTTTGTGTAATAATTTATTATCTATAGAAAAGAGGTAGGGATTTACCTTGCCTTTCCTGGAACTGCCAATGTATTATAGTGAAGTGTGATATTCTCTGGGCTTTGTGAAACATTTGGCTTAAGTATTTATTTAATTTTATTGAACCTTGTATCCCTTGGCAAAAGGCATGGTATAAATTCCTGTATTATTATTATTATTATTATATGGTAAAGGAGAAGCTTACCAATTTTATTTGGGAACTGATGTAGCATACTCAGTTACATAATATCCTATGTTTAAATTACGAATCTTGTGCGCGCTCATTACGTAGATGCTCAAATAAATTTGTAATGCCGTGACATTCTAGTTTAGCCTTGCCATTGTAATGTATGGGATTGTTGATTCCTAGACGAGTTCTTCGAAATATTATTTCCTGAATGGAGGAAAAAAGATACTGTCCCTTGGCCCAAGGGTACAAACAAGTGGCCACCCTCACTCAAAACCCCATCCTCCTAAATTTATACAAATCACCTTTCACCGCTTCTCTACCCAGGAGTATAAATGGGGACAGTACCTGGTGGGGTTACCTGCTCCTGCGCTGATTACAGGCAGCAACATTTAAGTATGTGGACCCAATGACCAGGGATAGGAAGCGCTTTGTATCTACAAAGAAAAGGCGCTGTATGAATAATAATAATAATAAATTATAAATTTATGTCCGACAGCACCATTTCCGGCCATTGAAAAGTGCCATGATCATAAATTTCTTTACCTCAGTCCCTACCGTGTTGGGGCACTCAATCTATGAAAGTCCCTCCCTAGACCCCTATATTTTGAATTCTAGCTGGATCTGACATTGCAATTTGTGCATGTAATTCAACACCGACTAAAGTTCATTTGAAATCATTCACATTCTACTAGTTTTTATACTCTTGGGAGCAGAGATACAAAAACCTAAGGTTATATAGATGAAGTGCCTTGCCGAAGGACGCAAACAATATAGGAAGTTCCGGACACTTAACTCGCAGCTCACTGCTCAATACAATCTATTACTGTATCTAGAAATGAAGTGAACATCAGCAAGGGATGAATACCTATAAAGTTCAAACCTATTAAAAACAGGTTCTTATTTCAATTAATCAATTTACTGTTCAGCTTTATTGCCTGTATGTCCGCTTAACGCCTTTACACTTCTTTTCATTCTGTAGAAGATTGATGGGGAAGACCCTAAATCACACCGACCTGACTGGTTGTATGTAGTCGCCAAGGGTAATAACCCCTTGCCCCCAGCTGAAGAGGTAAGGTAATTGCAAATGAAATTAGTTTGTGGAAATGGCAGTGAGGGACCTGCTTTAGAAAAATATATTTAATTAGTTTTTCTTTATATTTATAACATTTTTATTCTTTGTTTTGGTTTTGTAAATGTTCATTTTTGTCATACTATTGTTTATAATCCTACATATTTAGTTCATCATTTTCAGTCATTTGTATGTAGTTGCCAAGGGTAATAATCCCTTGCCCCCAGCTGAAGAGGTAAGGTAATTGCAAATGAATATAGTTTGTGGAAATGGCAGTGAGGGACCTGCTTTAGAAAAATATATGTAATTAGTTTTTCTTTATATTTATAACATTTTTATTCTTTGTTTTGCTTTTGTAAATGTTCATTTTTGTCATACTATTGTTTATAATCCTACATATTTAGTTCATCATTTTCAGTCATTTGTTTGTTTATTCTTAATTTCTCATGTGATTTATTTCGCCACACCTTGGTCTGTAATTATTTTATATACAGTATGTTTAGATATATTTTAATTATTTATTGGACTTAAGCCTGTAATTTTGTGGTATGTCTAATAGCATTGACCATTGCTTTGTGCGGTTTCTGAATATTTTATCTCAGAATTTGAATACTGGTTAATATAATCAATCAGTTAATCATTAAAATCAAAGCATCAAGCAATCAATTAATTAATTAATTAATAATTATCAGTTGAATAAATCACCTTCCAAGTATAGTAACTCCAGCAGTAGATTCTACACAAAAAAATATTAAAACCTGAAAAATGTCCGTAAATGTACTTAACTTAATCTTGTTTGCAAACTAAAGTATTTAAATTAACACGTTGACAGCCAGACCTTTTTTAAGGTTCGTTCCTTCCCGTGTGCCAAAACAAGTTTACATGTACAAACATACATTTTTGAAACTTTATCTGGTCATATATCATCAAAATGATGTGTCTAATGGATTGGCAGGAAAATATTAAGGGACGATTAAACAGCACTTTTTATTGACTATGCCAAGATTGGTATATGTTCAAAGGGCGCCCCACTTGTGCCACTCGATTGTACTGCCAGTAACATAACACAACAAACATACATACATCATTTGTACATTATCGTCTAGGTATATCTTCCCCGAACTACCAGCCGTTAAGTCTCTGGTTCTACAATGTATACGAAAGAAGTAATAAACGCTAGAATGTTATCATTACCCCCGTTTTGACAAGTATCCTCATCACTGTCAGCTAACGTGTTTAAATCCTTAAGGTTTTAAAGTAGTAGTACTGTACCTAATGATGGCTAAATAAATTATGGAAATGGAGACAATCCATACCACAAATATATACTGTACGCCACAAAAAATAAAAATAAATTTTTTAAAAATAAACCAAAGCAAGGAAATCAATGAATTAGTGATTTATACAGAATGAAAAATTGATACTGTATTTTTATTCAGCCTAAAATATCTATATATAAAAATTTTTTTCATCCTGTTTCTATTTTCACCTGTAATGGTTTACCGAGAAAGGGCTAATATTGTACTGGCTAGTTTACAAGTAAATATAGTAGCTAAAATTATGTGTGAAAAAGATGGTGGCCCTTTATAACCTCATTCAAACTCATAGATCTGTATTACAGTTGCTAATTTTACAGCGGGTTCCGTTTGAGACTATACCAGATCGGCTGGAATAGAGGATGTGCCAAGTACTTGACACCAACCTGCATCCTTCCTGCCACCAACTATCATGATCTTGCAAAATTTATACTGTCAAAATCAGACCAGTTCATAGTAATTTCTATAACTCGGATTGTTTAAGACAAAAATTATTATGTATTGTTATTGTCAACATTGACTCTAACAACTAATAATAATTTCACTAGGCCTAAATTGGACTTAAGGGGAATATATTTTGTGTTATTTTCCCCTTAACGTTGTTTTTTTAATGGTTCTCTCATTTCTCCATTGTCTAAGTTCCCTTTAAGGTAGGTTTTAATAATATAATAATAATAATAATAATAATAATAATAGTAGTTGGATTATAGTGCATCTTGCAAAAACCCTCTATGCGTTTGGTCATTGAACTCTTGCAGTTGAAATTTTGATAGTGAGAAAAAAACAAGCCCTATAAAACTAAACCTACTTCTTAAACTAAACGAAAACATGGTTGGCCATCGGCTCCAAAGAGTTCAACCACTCTTTGTTCTGCTGTTTTTTTTTTTCTTGCTGCTGTTATAGAGACAATTTTACTTAAAATCTGAGGTGTTGATTGGTAGAGCTGGCTTGGACCTATCGGATTTAAACTTCAGTCTCGCTATCGTTATGCACTAAACAGCAGTTCGGAAGAATGTTTATAGTGTTTCTTTCAATCATTGCATAGACAGACCCTTCACTTGGCTAGTAATCAATCTAAGTCACTTCTAATGATACAAATGATAAAAAAAATAGGGTTTTGCTGATTAACAAATCTTTAAAATGGCATCTTGCAGAAAACCCTCTATGCGTTTGGTCATTGAACTCTTTCAGTTGAAATAGTAAGAAAAAAACGAGCCCTATAAAACTAAACCTACTTCTTAAACTAAACTAAAACATGGTTGGCCATCAACTCCAAAGAGTTCAACCATTCTTTGATCAGCAGTTTTTTTTTTCTTGCTACTGTTATAGAGACAATGTTTATTTATTCATTCTCATTGTAATGATCATCATAATCATCATCATTATTATTCCACACCTACATGATGATAATCATCATCTTCATCATCATCATCTACATTTATAATATTTCTTCTCTTTGTTTGTCATCATAATTGGTTTGTTCAACAAACATGTGCGTATTAGTACTGGTATTATTAAATACGGTATCCCTAAGTAAGTATAATTAATATACTTACCATTATTAATAGTATAATTTAATACTACAGTATACCAATATTATTAATATTCTCACTCGATTTGCGAGAAATTTCAATCAAGCCAATTGACATAGTTTGTTCATACTTTTTAATTAGTATTTTATTTTATAATTTGAATATTAGTTTTACTGTTAAATTCAGTATTGCTCTTTTCGCATTATTAATAGATGTAATTAATATACATATCATTATTAATAGTATAAGTTAATACCATACCAATATTATTAATAATCTCACTGGATTTGTGAGAAATTTCAAGCAAGCGAATTGACATTTTTTTTTTATACCTTTAAATTAGTATTTTGTTTTCAATTAATTGATTCTTAGAAATTCAATAACTACCGGATGGCAGTATTAATTGGCATATGGTATACAGCACGTAGGATACAGTAAATGAATTCTTAGAAATAGGTTGCCTTCAGCTGAAATCAGGTCAAATAATAATTAAACAATCAAGTAGTTTTGTCGTCAGTGCATGGATATTACAATACAGGTCTCCCTCCAATTTAAGACCACCTCCAATTAAAGACCACTTTTCAGTGGCCTCGGTTGAATACTATCTTTTATCATTAGCTGTTCCCTCCAATTAATGACTCCCTGTATTTAGAGACCAAAGTCCATGCTTAGGGGAGACCCAACTGAAAATTTTCCCTCCAATTAAAGGCTGCTATAAAATATAGTTATATACATACACATAAAATATTACCTAATGTATAGTACATCATAAGATGATGTTTTGTATACAGTGTTTTGTGTATGTTGAATAACAATATTGTTAGTGGCGATATTAGTAATATTTTAATGGAAATTTTGGGTAAACAAGTACAGGACTTGATGTCTGGCCACCATGAAATGTTTTATTAAGAATAAATAACAGCATGCAGTAACTGTACATTTATTTGAATAAATAGTTATTATATATACACATAAGAATATTAGCTAATGTACATCATAAGATGATGTTTTTTTATACAGTATTTTGTGTAAGTTGAATAACAATAATTTTATTAGCAATATTAGTAGTAATTTAATGGAAATTTGGGGACTTAATGTCTGGCTACCATGAAATGTTTTATTAAGAATAAATAACAGCATGCAGTAACTGTATATTCATTTTAAAACAGTTGATGTATTATTTCTTATTTTCCCTCTAAATAGCGAAATCTAAAGACCGCATTTAGTGCCCAGGGATGTTGCCCGTGATGCAGTCACTTGAAAACAGTGGGGAGGCTTTCCGCACTTCCACAAGCAAGCAATCTGCCGGAAAAAAATGTTTCTTCATTTCCCATTAGAGAAATCTGAAGACCACATTTAGTGCCCATCGGTCCCAAGTCTCCTGCAGAGTTTCAGGATGAAGTCTCTTGGAAATCAGCAGGAAGGTCTCCCGTAATATTTTGCATTATTAATTGTCTCCCGGACGTCCGTACTAAAGGTTGTCACAAATGCACAGCAAAATACATTTAGATGTTAGTTGTTCATTTGCTCATTTAAACAGATCTCCCGGATGTGGATTCTTCAAAGGTGGGACCTGTGATGTCATTAATCATAGGGGTTCTATATACTGTACACACCAAAGACCATGGTTTTGACAGACCGAACTGAAAAATAAATAGTACATCAAAGCTGACTTTTTTTGTTACAGTGTTCCATATTGAATACTAATAGTGTTAGTAGGATGTTGAAGTATTTTTGTATTTAAATGGATATTTGGGTAGAAAGAGCACACAACTCGATGTGTGGTTACTGAAAATCGTTTTTATTGACTAAATTGTCAGAGCTATCAAAGACTTCGCCACTGGAACCCCTCTGAATGATCAATGACCACAATCACTTATGCTGGGCAGGCAAATCCTGGCGCAACCACATGTTTTTCACTCTCTGTTATTTTGCGTTTGTCAATTTCAATGTTCTTTGAACGAAATAAATGAAATGAAATTAATGTGAACAGTACACATGTCGTGTATGATGGATGGGCCATTCCATTAATTTCTTTTATGCTTGTAGTAAAAAATTAAATTTTTGTGACCATTGCCATGTTCTTTGACCTTTTCCCAAATTTAATCATCTCTTTCTTTGAATCCATTATGGTCCATTAATTAGTTTTTGCATGATAACAATCTAATGCATCCTGTGTATAATACTGTACTAATGTCCTGGCCCAGAAATAGTAAATAATATAATTTAAGGACTTTCCGGAACGTCGGTAATAATGTTTTATGTACGTGTCTTTGATACTCTCAACCGTGTTCATATTGTGTCAGTGATATTGACAATTCAATTAGGTTGTCCATTAATGTACCGGTATAATCACAAGACCACCGTTGTGTTTCATTCTTATTCAGAGGTTAGATTGCAATCTTTAGTTTAATGGGGTTTTTTTTTCAATTTAATTTGTGTCAGAAATAACATACAGTATGCCCTTTTCGTTGATTATTAACAAAATTATAATTGTGAAATTTCAAATAATTATATTTTAAATAAATATAGGAAAACAATCTCACAGGTATTGGAAAGTAAATATTTCTCCTTTTCTTTTTAAATCCCCCAGTACTCAACTTTTTTAAAAGGGATGCATGTTTATATATATTTAAAAAATTGTTTTCAATTAATTTTTCACATTCATTGTTATTACCAGGTTGGCCTAAACCAGCAAATAAGCAGTCATTCTGTGTAATTATATTGTCAATGTCATCATCATCATCAACTACAGCATCTCACTGCTGGGCAAAGGCCTTTTGCTAATAATGCCATCTCATGATATATTATAATATAATTACAACAATAATTAATTATAAGATTATATCACCTGGAATAAGCTAATAAAACTCATTGCTGTACTTTGTATAATTGATTATGTTTATTAGCTTGAAAATGTGCATGAACCAAAAATAGGCTATGGATATTGTTGCACCGATTTTACATAAGATCTGAGGTGTTGATTTGTGGAGCTGGCTTGACCCTATCGCCTTTAAACTTCAGTCTTGCTATCTTTATGAACTACAGCAATTTGGAAGAATGGCTATAGTGTTTCTTTCAATCATTGCATAGACAGACCCTCCACTTGGCTAGTAATCAATCTAAGTCACTTCTAATAATACACATGATAAAAAAAATTGGGTTTTGCTAATTAACAAATCTTTAAAATGATAGCACCTTCTTTTTGTCATCAATCAGGGGACCGGGAAAATGTATCTTTTAACATGGCTACAGCTCAAGTTTATTGTCATATACAAGGCAAATGAAATTTCTTTTCCAAGGTTCAAAATAAAACAGACATACTAAATAAGTATTCAATGAATATGATATAAAATAAGAAGCCTTTACGTAAAATGATGTAAAACTTTTAAAATATATAAAACCTATAAAAATTGCACTGAGATTGAGTAAAAAAAAGAAATAAATATATAAAAGTGCGGAACATACAGGATAAAATACAAAATATCTCAAGCTAACCCCCTATTTACTCCCCTTTACACACACATGCATGCTTCTCGCATTAAAATTCTGTCTTGGCATTGCGGTATTATATGAAACCTTCCATTGTCCTTGTATCCACTTAATTTACTGAGTTTATGATTTCTCCAGGTGACTATCTCTTTTCATTAATCTAATAAAATTGAACAAGTGCCTATTAACATTAAAAGGTAACTTACCACTAGCTGCAAGGAGAATATTGAAATAGAGCAATTAGATTATATCTTCTTCTGCCTCAAAGTGCTCTGATGTTTGTGATTTTGTAGGAGGTGTAGGATAATATTTACCATGATTTCACAGCATTGTACTCGTAAAATGTGCTTTTAACGTTGATGGATTTTTAATAAATTCTTGATCTACAGCCATTACCATACATTTTATTAATGTGCTGATACATTTTCATGTTGTGATTTAATTGCATTGACATAAGTGTACCATTATTATTATTATTTAAAAAAATGTACATTCAGAATTGACTAATTGTTTGTAGATCAGAATTTTCAAACATTATCATAAGTTGAAATAGTTTCATCTGGTATGTCCATATTTCGACATCTAAGATCTAAATGGACATGAATATGTTAAAACCGTGCAAGTATGTGTAATTTATTGTGGTTTAGAAAAAGCAAATTTGATTTACAATATTATATTAAAAACAGATGAAACTATTCAACATCTAAGATCTAAATATGGACACAAATATGTTAAAACCGTGCAAGTACGTATAGTTTATTATGGTTTAAAAAAAAAAAAACGAATTTGATTTACAATATTATATTCAAAACAGATTAAACTATTTCAACATTTAAGATCTAAATATGGACATATATATATATATATTGCATGAGTTCAGTAATACCTTAATAGATATATAATAGTTAGCTATGCTTTTTTGAAATGTAAATATCCTGAGTGTTTGATACTATGTGCTGTGCAGTGAGTCTTATACCCGATTCACACGTGAAGTTAAATTCAACAAAAAGTAACAAATTGTAACCGAGCCATCTCCCGAGTTATTCCTACCGAGATGTAAAGCATTCACACGCGTCTGTAAGGTAATGTCAAGGTCGTGTAAAATTTATTCAATTTTATTTAATGAATCATTTTTGCCCCTACTGCGATATAGGCCTAGCCTAGGCCTAGTTGAGAACCCCTGTCATTGATGGACTGTTAAACTCACCATCACAATAAACATTCGAAGCAATCAAATACCCTTAACAACTGCTGTATACTGTACTACTACTAGGCCTAGCTTCCGACGTTTCTGTCGACTCTTGATAATACTATTACAACACCATCCCGACGTTCATTTATGTATATCTTCTTCTTCTACCATTACTAATTAACATCGATAACAAGGGTAATTCATCCATCATTGAGAAAAACTAGGCCTATCTATTTCTAGTGGATCGGAATCGTCTGAGAAGCAAGAAAATTCAAAGAACCCTGCAAAAAACAGTAGATTGTTGATGTGTTGGAATTCCTGCGCATGCGCAGATCCATCCATGCTACATCTCGGAAGCTTTACCAGCCTCAGCGAGGCTGGTAAAGACTACCGAGACGTTCCAAGATTTTACAAGGATATTACACGGAGGTACTTTCACACGTGCCGTAAAATGTTACTTTTGGTTACATTTGGTAAGATTTTTGTACGTGTGACTCGGCTCTGAACTAATCATGAGTGGCACTTATGGTACAAATTTTTGTCATGCTAAAATGACATGTTGTATAGCCTTATGATATTTTGCAATGTTAACATTTGTTATTTAATAGTTTCCTGATGATACTAAAACCTCAAAGCAATTGGTATGTATTATCGATCAAGTATAACATACTGTATCTCTTAATAAACACCACAGTACGTAACAAAGAGCTGTGCTTAACGAAAAAACTCATGTCTAATGTGGCATTTACTCAAACGAGGAGGCACTTGTTGGAATAATATATGTCTGACAGAATTCTTAGGCTTTGACAATGCTCCTTTAAGTAGGTCAAATCAAGAAGTTAACTAGGAGGAATATAAAAGCTGATGGTTGTCTTGGAACTTGTAATGTGTTGTTTTCAGACTTGATTTAACCTAAATGGATGTCGTGCTTCAGAGAAGATGCACTAACACAATTTATATTTTTTTAGTAAAAAGTTATGAAGTATTCATAGTACATATGTTGGAATCATTATTTCATGTTATTTATTACTGTATTATGTTATTATTGCTATTATTATTTATTTTTTATTCAAATATGTAATTTGCAATAAATAGCAGATAGCTATTTTGATTGTATTACAATAAATAGATGAAAATATAATTTGATAAAACAAGAGATACAGTACTAATGCAATGATATAATAATAAAAATATTTTTGCCCGTTATATTGCCTTCATTTTCCAAATTTCCTAACATTATATTGTTACCATTTATCTTTTGATAAATAAATATTACTTTGCTTTGATTTTGAAATCAAATGTATATTATGTATGTATTCACACAGAATCATCAAGACCATAATGAATAACATATGTAATCAATTATTTCACAATTTTAATTTACTTGTTTTATGTTTTTTCAGTTAGCACACAAATTTGGAGAATTAGAATCAGTTGATGTACAGGTTATAGACAAAAATACAGCAGTGTTGGCTGTATCTACATTTTACGGGTATGTATGTTCACATTATTCATGTTAGCACCATAAATTACCTCCGCTAAAGAGGTTATGTGTTCACTGCTGTCTATCGGGCTGTCTGTCTTTTAGTAAGATTATGCATAAACTACTGTAATGAATACCCCCATATTAAGGCAGCACTCAAGAAAACAGTGTGCCTGAATACAACAGGCAATTCCATTATTATCTTGAGGGTATGCTGCAGCACTCAAGAAAATAATGTGCTGAATATGACAGGCGATTCCCTTATTCCCTTGCGGGTATGCTGCAGTTTCGCCCATCATACACACAGCCGGCGTATTGTTCAGGCAATGGGGCGGCGGTATGTACTAATAATGGAGTGACTGCTCTAGTTGTTAATTTAGTTGTGTGCATTTATTTGTATAGTGCTGGAATCCTCTTCATGATGTTTTACTATTATGTGAGAGACTGTTGATTTGTGATTGAATGCCTGTCAGATGGTCAAGCAATTCCCAGTTGGGTATTCTAATTATGATATCTATTTTTTGCCACAGATTAAAGCTCTATCCCCAACTAACAAAAAAACTGTTGTATGACCATATATAGTCATGATGTGATGTCAAGTTGACCATATTTAGGCATGTCACATATTTTTGTCAAATAAAATATGATAGTCTGGACTTGGCTTTATTTACTATGTTGGAGAGGACTGTACCTGTGATGTATCTTGCTTTCAAATTTCCAGGATCTGGGGTTCAAATCCTAGTGACTAAATCTTGTCCACACTACAGTAAGTGCAAAATAATTTGATTTGCCTATATGGGGATGATAATATATACCATATCCATATATGGGCAGATCATAGCTATTTTTCACTTAAAGCTGGAGAGTTTTGACACAGCTTTATATATACAGTAACAAATGTTATATTTCATCTTCTAATTGGCGTTTCACTCACTGTTTTTTTTTTTTTTTTATTGATTAAATGTGTTCGTAATCCTGTGCACCCTGACCAATACGTTATTTTCCTTTAGGGCTGAACCTTACAGACATGATAACAATATTATGATAGAGAAATTGCGTAATGACATAATAATAATATTAATACACAATTACCAAAATAAACTAGTGTTTACATAGCATGCTTAACACTCCTAGGTGATGACAATGTAAAGGTTCATCATAATTAAACATCATAGAATGTATATTCTCTAAAGTCATACTTCCTCCTATCCAATCCAATATCAATAGAACTTCGCTGACAGTTGCAATGATTTGTTGGTCGCAGTTTGTGAAGTGATGCATTTTGTAACATTTACTGATCAAAAGTATTTTGTTAATAAACCAGTAGATTGGTTAAGATAATTGCATTTAAATTCCTTGGTTCACATTCTGTCAACAGCATATGTTTGTGAATGGGTGTGTTAGCTATCAAACAGATGATTTCTGGCCTGTCAGGTGCAGGAGTAACCCCATGGTGGGGGGTGTAGGGGACTAAGTTAAGCCCCTGGCTTTTGCCTATTAAAAACCGAAAATTGTGGCCATTTTGAGGTGTTGGAGGTCATGTTTTGACCAAGGAAATGAAAACGGAAAGCAATTTGTTTTTCTTTGTGGTCCAAACAGGTAGGGGGATTGACTTGTCGGGTGGGAGATTATACCCCTTTTCTCCACTCAGCCACCACTGCAACACAAATCCTAATCAGGATTCAATTAAATTGGCTTGATTACCACTCAACTTTTAATTCACATGTCAATCACTCATGTTGTTCAAGTATCTCTTACTTTCTTTCCGAATTGTTAATATGTTTTTGTTTTTTTTGCAGGAGTAAGCACATTTTAAAGGCTTTCCGACACGACAAGACCATGTCGGTAACTCGCTACAGTTGGCTGCAGCATTGCAAGCCAGTGAGATACGGATTGTGGTACGTGGACTTTTACCTATTGCCCATACAACTCACAGCATAATTGTCCAATATACATCTTGTTTGATTTACTATGTTATTATTGAATTCATATGTACAGTACCATTAATTTGAGTTGTTGACAACCTAAAATATTGAATTATCACAACCGTTGTGTAGCAGAGAATTACAGTAGCAATAATGTATGCATATTGATTTGATTTTTTTTTTTTACTTGATATATATTTTACAGAAAAGTACTGGTCTCTCAAGTGTCCCAGTAAATCATTCTTATATATAATAAATAATCACAACAATAAAATGTAACAAATGATGGATTAATGAAATGATTGTGGTAATTAATACAGATATGTAATTAAATTATGTTTTATAATTTATATTTTTTTTATTTGAATAAAAAGGGGAAGATTGCACACTTTTTTAGCAAATGAAAGATTAATAAAATTGTCTATATAGATATAATTAAATTAGTGTTTATAAATTTATAATAATTTTATTTGAATTAAACGAGGAGATTGCAAACTATGTATGACAGATTCCCTGTCAAATTAACAGAAAAAAAAATTGTAATCAGAAATGTCAATAGCTAGTGATAGCGTTCTCAAAAAAATTTAGTTTATTCATGAATTAATGACGATAGATCAACGTTCAATCTAAATATAGCAGACTGATGATCCATCAGCCTAATGATATAGGCCTACCGTGTAAATTTTGGCAGCATTTGCATGTAGTAATCCTACTAATCAAATAAAACAATCACATAATGCGTATCTTGCTCTCCTTCGCCTCCTCACATGCAGGATGATCGAAGTTAGCAGAATGATGCATTTGATTTACAGATGTACCATTATTTGGAGAATAATCTTTAATAAACTAGCCTAAGTACCGATTTTAAAGCAGCGTTTATAAGTTGTTGAGCTCAAATATTGTTCCCGCATGTCGCACTGTGCGTGGCAGCGGTATAAAATAAACAAAGAATGGGTTGTTAACCATGGGATAAGTTGAAATTTAATTCTGGAATAGTTACACAGTATTTAACGTGAGCTAAAACTTGCTCAAACGGTCGACCACCTGTTGAGTGCTCAGTGCGATTAACCGGTAAAGTAAACGGAATACGGTTAGGGTTTTTTTTGCTCGAACAGGCACTAAAAATCAGTTGTGAAACATATCGAAACATTTTTTTTCCCTCCAGAGCCATTGATTGGGTACCAGAAAAAAGAAATATATTTTAACTAAATTGATTCATGTACTACAGGTATTTGAGCCCAATCAATCATTAAAGAATTTTCTTCAGAAACATTTGTTGAGACTAATTGGTCTCATGTTCTTCTTTTCAAAAGATGTAATGTTGCATGGAAGAATTTTAAATGGTTATTCCTTAATGCAATCGATACAGTTTCCTCTTAAAATGGATCAGAATAAAACGGCAAGCTGAGGATTGCATGACAGCTGATTTTTAAATGACACAGAATGGTTTACTTGCTAAATTTAACCATGAAAAGAGTAAGAAAGTTTCAAGCATACTTTCAAATAAAGCAACATCTAAACTTTGGAAGATTGGATTTGATTGGATTTATTTGGTGTAAACACCAAGGATAGCCCACAAAAGTCAAGAAGAAGACATACTTAAAGTGGTGTCCTTCTGGTGGTGTACAGTACACCGGCAGACAATCCCCTACTCTTTTCCGAAGAGTGTACTGCATTGTTTAACATGCACAACCAATGACTTAAAAGTCTCATCTGAAATACGGTGCGCTATCGTAACTTGAATTTCAGCACTCCATCCGCAACACAAGGAGAGGCAGCGATGGGAATTGAACCGGGTACCTAGAGATCTAGACCTAGAGTCTCCACGGTTCAGCGCACACGTGGCTACCACCGGATTATCCGACTGAGCTAAGATGATCAAGCCCTGTCCAGACTATCAAATTTATTTGACAAAAACATGTGACATGCCTAAATATGGTCATGATGACATCACATCATGACCATATATGGGCACATAATGACTATATTTATGTACATGCAACATTTTGTTGTCAAAAGGAAATTTTGCTAGACAGAGCTCAAAATATGTACTATCATTTACAGAGACAGGAAAGTACTTCAAAAATTCAAATAAACTTGAGTAGCTCATTTGAAAGGATCAAATAGATTACATATGAGAAAAAAGTAGTTTTTACCAATTCACAGACATTTTACTACTAAATCCTTAAATTGATTACCAGCCAATTTAAGGATCTGTGCAAAAGAATACAGGAAAGTTTTTTGTAATTGTCCAAAAATTGATGGGGTTTTTTTTTTAAATTAAACTTAGATTAGACAGAAATTGAAGAGGGGTAGAAATTTGCTTATGAAAAATATTGAAATCATATGAATGAACATGTTTGAAGGAACTGTCACAAATATGACTAAGTTAGGTTTCCTAATTGCACAATTCCTGTCATTACATTTCCTTCACCACCTTTTATCATAATAACATAAATAAATTCCATACATGATATCTTACCAATACTACTCCATATGCTGCAATAGCCAATCAATGATTAACTGCTAAAGCTTGTTGCATTTTCAACAGGATGAATGAATGGTTTAGAAAATAAATTATGATGTGAACTTTTGAGAAATCAACTTTAAGATGTTCTAGTTCTATTCATTCCTAATTACAATATTAATGAAGATTTCTTTTCTGTCTTTGCTAGGTGCTCAATTATTATGATGGGTGCTTTCTGCGTGTGGACGTTCATAGGTGACAAATGAAGAATAATTAGATTGTGCATCACATCCGGCTCAACAGTGAAACAATGCTTGGCTTGGTTTTACATTAGGAGAAATTCGAACTCTTCGTGGAATGATGTTTGTGAAAAAATTTAACTGAAGAGAGGGCAGTATGACACAAATTGTCAAAAGATAAATAATGCTGTAGACAGGACATTGAACTCTTTCTGTAAGATTGAACTAAAGAGGGCAGTGTGACATGGATATTTTCCAACATCCTTCAGTTTAAATTATAATGTTCGCTACATTTTTTATCATGTGTATAATTAAGCTGTTAGATTTAAAATTGTACAATGTTACCTGTTAGTCAAATATGACTGCCAAAATAGTAGCTACAATACTATACATGATGTCTCCAGAAAAATATGCATAACACTTTGTTGCCTTTTTCATTTACATGTAATTGTGACAGGGTTGGGACATGGTGAAGATATATTTGTTGAAAAACTCATTTAACTCAGATCTTCCTATAGTGGCTTTTAGCAACTTTGGAATCCTAATAATAATTGATATTATTTCTAACACATATTTCTTGGTCTTCAGGCATTTTGGGACATTTGAATGTATAATTGATATATGTATTTTATAGTGCTTATATTTTGGTTTTTATCCCGGTTTTTATGCTTTGTTTTTTTAAAGAAAGGATTACAAAAAAGAAGAAATAAAAGAAAGTAATGATATTGATCATAACTACCTGTAGAATATAGAGACATACAGTAATGAATCAATGGGAAGGTACATCAGTTACAGACAATTTTTTAGTAAAATAAATATGTATACAATTGCAGTACTACAAAATTTGAATCATTAATAAATTATGAATGTAGGAGAAAATAAATTTGAAATGAAAATTTCTGATAACCTGGCAACTACCACTGGGGAATTTTTAGAGGCCTAGCATTTTGCGGTATGTAGTTACTGTCATGGATTAAATCAATGAATAAACTAAATTGCTAAAAAAAATAATACTTGCAAATACACCACAAACGAACCCCATTCAAACTCTTTAATTATTATTGTAGAACTCTCTTTTTCTTTAAAAAAAAAAATAATAATAATTTGATGTTCACATCAACCCATTTTTGCGTGGTTTACCAATACCCGGATTCATTAGGCCGACCAGCCCTCCTTAAACTAACGTTAGAATACTGCACTTTCGGCGGTAAAGAACACTTAAAACCTCATAAAAAAGGTAACTAATCCGTTTACCCATAATTGAATCCAAGGACACCAGTGTTAAACACTGTAGACAGGACATTGAACTCTTTCTGTAAGATTGAACTAAAGAGGGCAGTGTGACATGGATATTTTCCAACATCCTTCAGTTTAAATTATAATGTTCGCTACATTTTTTATCATGTGTATAATTAAGCTGTTAGATTTAAAATTGTACAATGTTACCTGTTAGTCAAATATGACTGCCAAAATAGTAGCTACAATACTATACATGATGTCTCCAGAAAAATATGCATAACACTTTGTTGCCTTTTTCATTTACATGTAATTGTGACAGGGTTGGGACATGGTGAAGATATATTTGTTGAAAAACTCATTTAACTCAGATCTTCCTATAGTGGCTTTTAGCAACTTTGGAATCCTAATAATAATTTATATTATTTCTAACACATATTTCTTGGTCTTCAGGCATTTTGGGACATTTGAATGTATAATTGATATATGTATTTTATAGTGCTTATATTTTGGTTTTTATCCCGGTTTTTATGCTTTGTTTTTTTAAAGAAAGGATTACAAAAAAGAAGAAATAAAAGAAAGTAATGATATTGATCATAACTACCTGTAGAATGTAGAGACATACAGTAATGAATCAATGGGAAGGTACATCAGTTACAGACAATTTTTTAGTAAAATAAATATGTATACAATTACAGTACTACAAAATTTGAATCATTAATAAATTATTATTATTATTGGCTCTGATGGGAAGCTCTAAAAAATTGATTCAGAGCCAGTTTTAAATGGCGGACATGCAAAAAATGTTATAGGCCTAGACCGTTTTCGCGAAATTTGAAATGAAAATTTCTGATAACCTGGCAACTACCACTGGGGAATTTTTTAGAGGCCTAGCATTTTGCGGTATGTAGTTACTGGATTAAATCAATGAATAAACTAAATTGCTAAAAAAATAATACTTGCAAATACACCACAAACCTCAAAAACACTGCGAACCCCATCCAAACCCTTTAATTATTATTGTAGAACTCTCTTTTTCTTTAAAAAAAAATAAAATAATTTGATGTTCACATCAACCCATTTTTAGTGCGGGGTTTACCATTATACCCGGATTGAATTTTTGGAAAATTGTGATTCCACTTCCGTGAAATTGGCCACAAATAAATTATTTTAGTATTAATGAATGCATGATTTATGTTGATTTATTGATGAAATCGTTGCTATTTTCTAACATTGAAATGGGGAAAAAAATAACAAGTAATATTCATGGCTTATTTTTTTATCTTTGAATATGTAATTCCCGCAAAATGTAAAACATAAATGGCAATTTATTAGATGTTAGATTCTTTTAAAAAACTAAATTATTTCAGTTTTTAAAAAAATGCATATAATGATTTTTAAAAATCAGTTTTAATACAGAATTTTATTATTGGGGGCCATTTTTACCTACCTGTCATTTAGGGCCATTTTTACCGGGGCCATTTTTATCGGGACCATTTTTATCGAGGCCATTTTTACCGTACCCCATAAATTATAGTCAATGAGTTAATATGCTTGACAAAATGTAGAGTGTAACACTTCATATAGCAAAATATAATTCACCTTGATCTGATCTGCAGTGTTATCCATTGGGAAATAAAAGATGCATGTTAAATGACATTTTTAGAATAATATGTTCAGAATATATAAACGTTTTTAAACGATCATGTTTGGTATGGGGAAAATGTCTTTAGAATGTCATTTTTTTTTTTTTTCAAAAGTAATGATCCTTGTTTCAAATATATTTCCAGTCTCAATGCAGTCAACCTTCTAAAATATATTGTGAATTGCCCGTACGCACCCACCCAAATTACCAAAGGTTCACATTTTCAGGGGTAGAAAATTTAAGACACACTCTTGCACGTTCCAGAAATCAATCCACCAAAACTCCTAGACCAGTTTCCAACTTGGACTGCCTCTAATTCATCATACATAATTACAAGTGCATTACATCGTGGATGAGATAAGTACATGCGAAAGATACATATAATCAAGAATGCATAAATTAAGCCTAGATTGATCTGATTGGGAACAGGGATGGAAAACAATTATTTTCTTTGTTTTGTGGCGAATATGTCCACTACTCTACCGATTTCGATTTTGCGCTACAGTAGGTGCTGTGTAATCTTCGTAAAGAGCTTGCACATTCGCAACTTCTCATCAGTGGTGGATCCAGGTATTTAAAATAGAAAGGTGCCAGGGGAAACTTTCACAATTGGGGTCTGTAACACATTATTATGGCACCTCTATGGCGGAAGTGGCATTCTCAGACTTTAACAGGAATAAACATAATTTTAGCAAAACATAGATAGGCCCTAAATATTAGTTTGTACGCAGTGAGTCATTGACACGCGAGCGGCTGGGAAAACACTCAATTTCTTTTTTTTAAAAACTTATAAATACAGCTAAAAATTCTTGATTATTCGTTTATATTTGCAATTTCCTTTATGTATTTATCAAAAAATTGACCTTTAAAAATTTAGTATTTCCAATGCCCAGTAAGATTATGAGCTTCAGTTGCGTAGCTAGGTGCTAAATTGCCCCAGTGAGATTAATTGCCGCGCCCTTTGATGTGGAAGGGGAATTCCCTAAATTTCTGAGAAAATACATGTAAGAATTGCTAATTCCTACAGGCCTATACTAATGATAAAGATTCGTAACTATATTAAGAGGTGCATATTCGGTCTCATCAGTTGTTCTAAACTACAGTAATCAAGAACATTGGATAGGAAATTCGAAACAGAGGGGCCAGGGGGGATATTTTCACAGGTGGTGGTGGTAGAATGAAGATCACCTCAGCCCCACCATGGTTGAGGCAAAGGTAAGGAAATTTATGATAATGGCACTCTCAGACTTACAATATAATGAATATAATAATTTTTTTTTAAATAATGTATATAATATGAATACACCACTGAATTGAAATTAACATAGTAATCAATAGTCTCTCCTACCAAATATTATTGAGGCACCCGCTAGTCATTTTTTTTTTTTTTTTTTTTTTTTTTTTGCTTCAAAATTAAGTTGGAAATTATTTTAAATTAGACCTATTATTTTTAGTTCTATTTATGAATGGGCCCCAGTGCTTTGCACTGGCTGCACTCTTGCCTCTCTTTTGGGGCTGAGGTACCATGAACCCTCCATCTCTACAAATCCCACCCTCCAACTTCATTGCTTGAATACAACTAAAAAAAGGTTTAGTTCATGTTTATATTGCATCTTCAGAATCGATTAAAAAAAATGTAGGAGTGCGAGAAGGTTCCGCCCACAGGCGTCCCCAGCAACTTTGATCCAATCTCCAGAAATTCGCACACACCCAATAAATATACAGTGTACGGGCCTGGTCAGCACTTGTTTTTGGAGGGTTTTTTTATCAAATGAAATATATTTAGATAAAATATATTGAGAATTGTTATGAATGTTAGTCACAGTTCAAATTGTATACCTGACATGATAGCACCACGGTAATTACATTTAAACATTATTTAGCTCATTTTTTGGGCTCTAAAATGCAATTAGTGAAGTAATACTGTAGTATATTTAATGCTTGCGGTATTGAATGCTGGATTTTGTATTAGCCTTTTAACACATAGTCACATTGTTTAGTTTTTCACAAATCAGCAGTAATTCTCACTATCAAAACAAATCTAGGCCAGATGGGTGAAATCCAGTTTGCCGAATGCCAGATTTCCGAGACCACTTTGCCGAAATCCAGTTTGCCTAACCCATGCCGAAAGTAAGTTAAAAGCAGTGAAACATTAACAGCAGCGTAACATTTACGATTGAATACTCTGTTAATCTTACCATGGACCTATTTAATACTAATAGGTCCATGTTCTTACCACTACTGCATTTGTACGAAGTAGTGGCACTATTTCTTTCTATACTGTATATATGTGGTGACGTGCTAGACTGATTATGCATACAAGAGTGCACAAACCTAAAATGAGTGTGCGATACAAAATGCAAAAT